TTTTTACTGCTTCGACAAAGTGCCTCGGAGCGAGCAGATGCTCAAGTTTTCAGCAGATTCCGTGTCTTCTGGGCGAGGGACCCCGTGACACGACAAAATAAAATGTCCCAGGATCACGCTATTTACACATTTAGTTGACTCCTTACCCAAATTAGAGACTTTTGATTTTTTTTTTCCTGGATGCACTCCTCCAAAATTTATTTTTATTTCTTCCCCTTTCTCCCCTCTTAAAAAAAAGCAGGATAATTCTTTGTCACTAGTTGTCAACTCTCCAGAAAATACTCTGTATCCATTTAATTATCGTAAAAAAAAAGGCTGATGGAAAATAAAAGAGGTAATTTTACTTTTAGACACATTTGTTAGTTTTAAGAAACTAGGACATTTAGTTGAACTTTATTGTCTCAATCTGAGTCGGGTTCCTGACCCCCGTGGCACAGAATGTCTGATCCTTTAAAAAGGGTGGGGGCAGAGCCAGCCTGCTCTCCCTGCCTCTTCCAGGACCACGCAGTGAACTGGGAGATGGAGGCAGGCGCGTGGGAATGTGACCTGTTCCGATGCGGAGGGCTAGCCGATGTTTAATAAGGAAACATAACAAATAAGCCGTGGGCTCCTCAACTTAACCGGCTGCCAGGAACGGAGTCTCCACTCCAGGGCTTTACAGCAAACTCCCTTCCAGAATGAAACCCAGACTCAGTGGCAACCCACTCCAGCTTGCTCAAGGCCCGTCTCAAAAGGAAGAATTTAAACAATCCAATGACCACAGATGTGTTTACAGTGACCCAGCTTTGTTAAATATCTTAGTCTTTTTTTGCTTTTATTTTTTTATAACGTATATACACAATTCCTATACCTCAAAGGACTTAGTCACAGGGGAAAGACATCATTATACGTATTTTTGTCTTAGGAAAATAGGAATTTGAGTTGAGAAATGAGAAGAAACAGTTAAAAGCGTGGCTGTTAGGAATCCCACTCTTATTTCAACCGCTAGACATGCCACATGCAAACTCCCAGCGCTGGGCTTACGGGGGTTTGAAAACTCGGAAATGTTCAAAGGCCAGAGCTGTTCTAAATTTTTTTAAATTGGGGAAAGTTTTCCCCAATTAATCGCTGTTCTTTTAGAATTTTATTTTCTGAAGAAAAGCTAGTAGGTATGGTAAGTGGAAGCGTTCCCACTGGCATGCGCTTTTTGAATTGGAACAGATTTCTCCATTGCATTGTTCCAGAAAAATAAACTCCATCATACCAATAAGCTGCTTTATTCACAAGTTTGTGGAGTGGAGGGCCGGTAAGATGGGCGGTGAGATGGGCGATTCCCCACTTTTCTGATGTTTAGTCCTACTCCTTTTTGTAAAACTGAGGGTGACCGAGGCTTGGCGGGTTCCCTCTTTTAATGGCCTAGATGCCAAGAGAGATCAGACACAGTTTGGGGTTAGGGAAATTTCTGTTCCCTCTCTAACCTCACTGATGTGCTGTGGGAATAAATGCAGTGTTTCTGTTAAGCTGTGTAGGCTCTATTGATGTTGTGTTTTCTTTGCATTTGGGCCTATACATACGAGAAAACTATTTTAAAAGCCCCCCCCCTCCGCCCAGATCTTTGCTACATTAAAGTCTTTCCACCCCTTTTCACCCTCAGAGCCAGGTCACCACTAGGCTTCCCTCCGGTTTAACAATGTAACTACTCGGCAAAAGTGGATCTGATTTTCCTTTCTCTCTGGTTTAACAATGTAACTGCTGGGCAGACACTGGATCTGATGTTTCTTTCTGTACTTGCACCTTCTTTACATACATGCGTTATCTACAAAGTGACCCATTAGCACTTTAGACACAATGTGTGTGTTTGTTTTGATACTCTCAGCTTATTCCTCCTTTGCTGCGGAGCACAGACCTGGTTTCTGTTCTTCATGAGCACGGCATCTATTTTTTATTTATTTATTTTTTTACGTTCAAAGGGATTAAAAAAGATTTGCATGCATCTCAAGTGCCAGGGGTTTCCATTTATCTTTACAAATTAATTTTAATTAGTACACAGAATTCCGTTAACTAATAGCTGATACGATCAGTATTTTGTTTCCAAAACAATATCCTTCTGCTAAGTGCTTCCATAGTAAAATGAGGGGAAAGGTATTGTTTTGTTCTTCAAGTGCATTCTGAATGCAAACACTCTGGAGAGCCAGGTAAACCACTAATCTAAGAGGCAGAATTGTATTTATTTTCCCCCCAATGGGTGCTAGGTCCTAATTGTAAATAATTTAATTTCCAACACCTGCAAATACGCGTTGTGTGCACAAGAGACATAATGTGAACACAGAGAAATGAATTTACTCCCCATATGGGCACGCCTGCCCCCTGGCAATGCATTTCCATACTCTTTAACTCGGGGACTGAAATTTTATAAATTGACAGTTTTGCTCAGAAGACCTTTCAAGCATCTTGTGTTTATGAGAATATGGGGGAATCCGCGGAATGAATTCGAGCACATGGATGAATTAAATTTGAAAACACACACACAGACCGAGAGGCAGGCAGCTCGCGGGCTGTGGTGGTGAACACAGATTTTATAAAACTGTTAACCCGTGCTCTGGGCTGTGCGTACGCATGGCCCTGGATGGCGTTTTCGGTTTAAGAATTCCACTTTGATTAAGCTACTTGAAAACCGAAACAGCTTTGCCTACGTGGGCAGTATTTAGGTGAGCGCTTTTCTGTAGTTAAACCCTGCTCGCCCTGCTGAGTACCGTGATTTCTTTTTCTGTGGCGGGTTCTCTATATTAAGTCATAAAACCACTGAAGCTGCCACGGAGTTATGCTTGGGATATAATTTTGGCTTAAATGTTCATTTAGCCCCTGTGCATTATCAGCAGTTTGATCCTGAAAAGTCCACCTGAGCTATGATATTGTTTCTTTTTTGTAGAAAACATGCGTTAAACTGCCACCGAATGAAGCCTGCCCTGTTTAACGTGCTGTGTGAGATCAAGGAAAAAACAGGTAGGACCTTTCAGCATTTTCTTTGGCCAATTGACTCACTTCCCCAGCAATCAGGAGCCCATTATTTAAATATTAAAATTGCAGAATGGGAGTTCTCTCAAGATTGATCGCGTGTGCGTGTTCCAATACGGCGTCCTGGGGCCTGTTTCCTGTAAGGGAAGCACCAAGTTTCTCAGACAGTTATTATCAAGCGTTGCTGGTTTCTTTTGCTTCACTCTGTTCCTGGCCCCTTTGAAATCAGGGTGGACATAGAGGTTCTGAAGGAAGTTTATAGAATTAGTGCCTTTCGGGGAGAAATATGAAAGTAAAAGGCTGTTTCCGAAAGGATATGTTTTGGCCCACATTTAAAACACTCCGTGGGGGGAGTTGTTTAAAGTTCCCTTTCCATTTCTCTTGCCGTCACAGGAAGCAGGCCTAGGGCCCCGGTGCTGGCTGCTACCTGTGCTGCGGCTGCAGCAGCAGAGGGGTGTCCGCGCCCGGAGCGCCTGCGGTGCACAGCAGGGGGGCGGCTGGGCTTGGGAGAGTGTGATGCCAGGAGATCGCGCTTTCTGTTGTGCTTTTACTTTCTGGACCTCATAGCATGGACTGACACACTTATGACACATCCCAGGAGGGCCTTTAAATTTTAAAGCCACAATTATAAAACAGCAGCCAGCCACCCATGGGAGGTGTGCTTCAAGGACAGCTGCTCCGGACGGGACATGTCGCCATGTCCTCTCGTTTGTTTATTTTAATCCCTAATTTCCCAAAGTGGGTGATTCTGTGTCTCTTGAAAAGAAAGAGTTGAGAAGGCGATCTGCTAGCAGGGCGGGAAGCCGAGGGCCGGTGGCGGCGGGAGGTGGGCGGTGGGCCTGGCTGGTGGGCTCGCTGCGGCAAGTACCTGACAGCCTCGTTATTTATTTATTTTTCACAACAAGGAGCGTAACAGTCAATAATTCATATCTAAACCATATAAGCAAGGGCATGACATGGATGAAAGTGACAATAAATATGATTGCATGCGGGTGATACACATTGATGGGCGCACATAAAGGGGCAGGCGCACGGCTTTCTCTCTGGAGCTCTCTGTGTTTCTCTTTTGAAAAATAAATAGTTTCAAGATGTGACCGTGTGATGGACTATGTAATTACTCGGGGCCTGAATTGTATGAAAAATTAGCGAGCAGCTCCTTTGTCGGTGCTGTTTGCGCTGCACAGCGCATCCCAGACAAAGCTCCGGGCAGCGGCCGCCAGGTTGCTCGCGCGCTGACCTTATTGCCAGCCGCTAATTGCATTGTTTTAGCTGCGAGACACCTTTTAAGAGATTTATGGGCTGTGCATACAGATATCAAGGGCTGTTTCAGTTTGTCAGACTTTTTAGTTTTTCTTTTTCTGTTCGCCTAGAGCAGGGAACCTAAGTACAGATACACATTTTTGTTTTCTTTTTTTTTCTTCTTATTTTTCCTTTTTTTTTTTTTTATCTTGATGCTTATTTATTATGAGTATTTGGTTTGGTGACATTGGGTTCTAATCTAATATGTGTCCACTGATCTTGATTTATAAAATGTGGAATCAAGACATAAAGACGTATTTGAGAATCCAGGCTAAAGAGACTCTATTTTTGAGGACACTTTATCAGATTTTTATTGAAAGGAAGCCCATCAGGGCACTTACCTGGATGTTGTGGCCAAAGTGTTTCATTCCAGCCTCCTAATTAAAGCCTCCCGGGGAGTCGGTGGAAGTGGGCGGGCCTGCGGGAGACCTGGCCGGGTGGGCTAGAGAGTGGTCCTTGCCCACCCGGCCACGCTGGTCACGCCGTTCTCCCAAGGTGTAATGTCTTCTCAGAATATGTATTTTGTTTTTTAATTTCTCTGTCATTTAATGACATTCATATTTGGAGATTTTAAAAAAATCTAAATTAAGGGTTCGCGTGTTGCCTCTAGAATAATATATTTTTAAAAATACTTTGTCAAGGCTGTAAATTGAAAATGGTAGGCTCACTGCCCCGTGGTAAGGGGAAACACACACAGAGTTTTGGGTCGAGAGGGCATCCATGGGTGAAAGTTAGAAGTAAAAAAAGGAAAAGAGAAAAGGCCTCCCCCCTCTGTCCTTCCGCGTGCTGCGGGGAGGGGAGGAGAAGCCTGCCTGGGGTGCAGGGCGCTCGGGTTAAAGGTGGGAGTCCGCGCGGGGGTCCCAGAGCAGCCGCTCACCTCCCAGCTCGGCTCTGCCACCGGCCCCGCAGGCTTGCCTCCTGCCTCCTACGCCCATCCTGTGTTGGTGGGAGGCAGGCACGCGGCTTGGAAAGTTGCAGGAGTGTCTTTCTTTCTTGGTCCAGAGCTAGTGGAAGGTCACTGGGTAGCCCACGGTCACGGGGTGGCCCACGGTCACAGGGTGGTCCTGCACGTACGTTCCTTCCTGGTGTCGCTCCTGTCGAGCCCCCTTGCATCTACCAAGGGTTTCCCAGCCTCCCTCCACCTCCGGCCCGTGGAGGCCGGGCGCAGGGTGCAGGGCACAGGGCGGGCTTTGTGGGGTGTTGTGTCCTCCCTGGAGGGTCAGGAGGTCACGCTTTGGCTCAGCTGGGCAGGTGGGGCTCAGAGGAGCCGGGCATGCCGTGTGTTTGCTCTTTTGCTTCTTTGGCTTTTGTTAATGATTTTAGTTGGGAAACTCAGAGCCAAGTAGGAAAACTCGCTGAGACTGTCTCACCAACCTTTTGGAAGTTTAAGGAAACACAGGCACAAGCCCCCGGAGCCGGCAGCGGCGCGACAGCATGGTTGATTGATAGGTATTTGAGTCAGAAATTACCGTGGGGATATTAGAGAAAAAAAGAAAGAGCCCCTGTGTTTTCTTGCCTCAAAGTGTGGGTAAGTTTTTATTTTCATACCTTTGTGCTTTTTAAGTAAACGCGACGAAGGAAGAATGCCTGGCGGAGCTGCAGGCGGGCCCAGCCCCACAGAGGAGCCGCGAGGTCTCCGGCGGTTCTGAGGGGGTCTGTCTGCTCCTGGGACAGATTTGGTGGGGGGTTTGGGGCCATGTGGCATCGCGTTCTCTTTGTTTCTGGAGCCACCCCATGTCTGCCGGCAGCAGGCTGTGTCTACCTGTGTGTGTATGTGCTGGGCGTGGGCCATGGGTGCAAGAGGAGGAGAAAGTCAAAGGTCACATTTTGTAGAAAGACCTTGATTATTTCGGTGAATGCCCCTTGATTTCTCTTTTTTATTTCAATGTCAAAAATCACACAGGTTTAAAAACTAGGAAAACAAAAAATGCTGTGCGCCAGTTCCTCGGGAGGAGATTTACCGAGAGCAAGGAGCTGGGAGGCGGACAGCTTTAATTTTAGAACTTCAGGGCTCGCTGGCACTGCTCGGCGTTTTCTGCACTGGAGTTAAGTCACGGGAGGACATTAGAAAATGCTTTTTGCTTTCTTAACACCCTTTGTTCTCTCGGTCTTTTTCCTCTGTGTTTGGTTAGCACCCCCACCGGAGAGCTGTTAGTTACCACCCCGTTCCCTTTGACACCTCCCTCCAGTCTCGTCTGCCGCTCCTGTCAGTAAAGCGATTACTTACGGGAGAATAATTTGTGTGTGTGCGCACACGTGCACGTGTGTACATGTGTGCTCTATGTGGGTCGGGCTCTGGGCGGAAGCTGTGCACCACAGGGCAAGGTTCTGAGGGTGAGGCCGGGAGCACGGGACAAGGGGAAGGAACTTAGACAGTTCCCAGCTGCCTCTGCAGACGCCTTGCGGAGCAGAAATGGCCGGTGGCTTTCACAGAAGTTTGTCTATAGCAGAACTCATGTGTGTATGTGTGCACGCGTGTGTATGTGTGCACACGTGTATGTGCATGTGTGCGTGCACATGTGTGCACGTGTGTGCACGTGTGTGTGTGTCCAGGGTCTGAGAGAGGCGGGGGAGCAGCCCAGCACGGGGAGCTCACCTCGACTTTACGTTCCGAGAGCACTGGGATCGGACCGTGTGCTGTTCATTGTCATCGGGGCATAGAGCGTGACGTTTGTGATGAGAAGTGTCCCTTCTCTCCAGTCAGTGTTGGATAATCCATTTTTGGGCAAATTCTGGCATCTGAGAGGGGAGGAGGGTGCTTCGAGCACTAGGGTCAGACCTACCAGAACGGGATTTGGGGAACTTGGTGTCATGTCTTCTAACCAAGGGGGTGACTGTGCGGGTTGGAAATGAGACTGAGGACGCTGGAAGAGGTGGGGTGTGGGGGACGCTCGTGACCTAGGAAGTGGGTTGTAGGTGGAGAGGTGGGGGGAGGGTCCCAGCGGGTGGGCTGCTGGGGGAGGGGCGCTGTGCTGTGTGTTCAGCTCCCTGCTGGTACCAGGCCTGTCACACTGCGGCCTCCACCTCTACTGTCAACATGAACTTCTGGTTGTTGTTGGCAAATTACAAAAAATGTCCCCAAACAAGCAAATGAACCAAAACTTGGATATTGAACATATTTAAGTGGGAAGGAGTTGTCATTGTCGCTGAAAGCCTGGCCCTGGCTTGGTCTGAGACTTGGTTCACACGCGGCTGGAGAATTCCGCCTTAGCTTTGGTCTCAAACTTCTTTCCATGGATGCGCTGTGTTTTCAAGTTGGGGAAGTGAATCTAAATATAGTTCTGTTCCTTTTTATAATTTCCTTTTACCCAGAATGCCACCTGATAGAGGCAGCGTCCAGGCCCAGCTCCCAGGGCAGTTGTCACTCATTCCCACGTGACCCTGTGCCCCCCATCCATGGTGTAGCCTGGGTGACAGGAGTGACGTCATTGGCTCCACCCCGAGATGTGAGGTGTAAGGAGCCCACTGATTGATAAATAAAATAAGTGGCAGGTTAATGAGTTGTTTGCAAAGAGCTTTGCACTCTCCAGGCTGTATAAATAAAAGATGCCGTGGGCTCTGTAATAGATTATCTCGGGACTCGTATCCGACTCCATCTCATAGGACCACACTGTGTGAACTCTTCCGGGCCAGAGGCCCCTCCTGGCCTAGGAGGTCGGTGGCCAGTGGGCGTGTGAGGGCTTGGGTGC